TGCCGAAATGGGTGTGCGGGACGCATGCGGACGGCAGACGGCAGCACGTGGGTGCCTGTGCGGGACGCACGGAGCTGGGGCCTTCGGTGTGGGGCCACGAAACGTGTGAGGGTGTGTGCCGAAACGGGACGCATGCCGGCAGCCATGGGGCCTTCGGTGGAGCTCCCTATGGGGCCACGAAACGTGTGAGGGGTGTGCCGAAATGGGTGTGCGGGACGCATGCGGACGGCAGCATGGGGCCTTCGGTGGAGCTCCCTGTGGGGCCACGAAACGTGTGAGGGGTGTGCCGAAATGGGTGTGCGGGACGCATGCGGACGGCAGCCATGGGGCCTTCGGTGGAGCTCCCTATGGGGCCACGAAACGTGTGAGGGGTGTGCCGAAATGGGTGTGCGGGACGCATGCGGACGGCAGCACTGGGGCCTTCGGTGGAGCTCCCTGTGGGGCCACGAAACGTGTGAGGGGTGTGCCGAAATGGGTGTGCGGGACGCATGCGGACGGCAGCCATGGGGCCTTCGGTGGAGCTCCCTATGGGGCCACGAAACGTGTGAGGGGTGTGCCGAAATGGGTGTGCGGGACGCATGCGGACGGCAGCACTGGGGCCTTCGGTGGAGCTCCCTGTGGGGCCACGAAACGTGTGAGGGGTGTGCCGAAATGGGTGTGCGGGACGCATGCGGGCGGCAGCCCTCGGGCCTTCGGTGGAGCTCCCTATGGGGCCACGAAACGTGTGAGGGGTGTGCCGAAGTGGGTGATGACGATGACGATGACGACGATGACAATGACGATGATGATGATGATGATGATGATGATGATGATGATGATGATGATGATGATGATGATGATGATGATGATGATGGGAGGAGGGAGGAGGGGGAGGAGAGAGGAGGAGGAGGTGGGACGCGGGGCGCTGTCTCTTCAAAACGAGGACCCAACACCACAGGATGGTTGGGAAAAAGAAAGTCCGGCGCGGGCGGGAGGGAGAGGCCGGGCCCGCTCAGAGCAGGGCCAGGCGGCGGCGGGGCGGGCGCCGGGGCGGGGAGCCAGCGGCAGCGGTGGGGCAGCAGCTGGGGGCAGGCAGTCAGACTAGACAGCCAGGCACGCGTCCACAGGGGGGGGAAGAAGGTCCAGCGCTTGCCGGAGGTGGGGGCAGCGCAGTATAGGGCAGCCGAGAGCGGCAGCCGGAGCGGACCACCTCAGGTGAGGGGTCAGGGGCACTGGGGAAGTATAGGGCGAGGCAAGCAAGGCGACGGCCGGCCAAGGTGCCGAGATCCGGGAGACCTGCGGGGCGACCTGGGGGGGACGGCCGCCCGAACACCCCCAGGCGGGGAAGGCCGAGAGGGCACGAGAAGGCGGGCGAGCAGCAGAGACGGAGCCCGCCGACCGACAGCGCCGGAGGAGCGAACCCGCTGGAGTCAGGGGATCTTCTGACCCGGGTCAGTCCAGACCCGGGTCAGCAGGAAGCCAAAAACTGCAATGCAAGAAAAAAACTGCTCTTCGCAAACCTGGGTCAGCCAATATGTGCGGCCGCCTCGCGGCCACGAGCGGCTCGCTAGCCCGGGTCAGCCAGAGGGGGTCTTCGCACGATCCTGCAGGATCCGGTGCCGTGGCTGACCCCCGTTTGCAGTGACCCCCGTCTCAAGGCCCTAAGGCTCCCGCCGGAGGGGCTGGCCTGAAAACCCGGCCAAAGGGGGGCAGCGGGTGCCGAGGCCGCGGGTGGCCCGTCAGGCACACACGCGGCACGAAGCGAAGGCCCGGCCAAGAGCCAGGCAAGTGGTGCGGCGCAGGAGCGGGCCGCCGCGGATCGGGGCGGGCACGACGGGGAGGAAGTGGCGGGCGCAGACCCGGGCATAGAAATTCTGCAGAAGGCCGGCGATCCCTCCTGCACAGAGCAGGGGATGCAGCGGCGGGGGCAGGGGCCTGGTCCAAGAGGGAAGCGAGGGCGGGCAGGGAGGGCGAAAACGCAAGCGTAGAGGGGATGGGGCGGGGCGGTCGCCGGGGGCGAGCGGCAAGACAGGCCCGCCGGGGCTGGCGCAAGGGCGCCCCAGAGGCAGGACGCGGGCCATCGGGGTGGGGGCACAGAGACTTCCCGCGACACGCAGAGAGAACGGCCAGCCCTAGAGGAGCAGGCGGCTCACGCGACACCACCTGGTGGGAGGAGCCAGGGCGGCTCGCCGCTGGCGTGGCCCGGCGAAGCGAACGGTGAGCGCCTCCCCGGGTGGAGGCACCCGTGGGCCGGGGGTAGGGCCGAGCGGTGCGCTGAGAAGCGGCAGACGAGGCAGAAAACTGCGTGGGGAGGCGGGGGTAGCACCGAACAGGTGCACCAACGTGTGATGAGAGAAACAATGAACCGCCGCACGGGAGGGCGCTACCGCAGCAGAAGCTGTCGCAGCGGTGGGTTCGCGCAGGGCCACAGTGAACAGGTAAACCGAGGTGGCGGTCGGTGGAGAAGTTCAGGCACCGCTGCCTGGCAGCTGGCGGCGGTCGTGGCCGTATCTCATGTGGTGTTGCTGTCACCCGCGCTGCTCGCCGACGAGCCAGTCGGGGTGGCGCTGCCTGGCGTCTGGCGAGGAGCCAGCAACCCGACAGCAGAGGGAAGACGGGGAGCGGGGGGGGCGCGGCAGGCACCGAGGCGAGCGGCAACACCATCTCGCTGAGGCCGCGGCCGAGTGCAAGCCACACACACACACACACGCGGTACAGCGCTTCGTGGCCCCATGGAGCGGCCCCACCGAAAACACAAGTGGCGGCGTTCGCATGCGCCCCCCCCTCCCAGTACCGCGCTTCGTGGCACCGAGGGAAGCTCCACCGAAGGCCCCAGAGTGGCGGTGTTCGCATGCGCCACCCCCAACCAGCACAGGGCTTCGTTTTCCCATGGGGGGCCCCATTGACCCGCGCCCCTCGCGCGTTTCGCGGCCCCGTAGTGGGTTCCACCCAAAGCCCGACGGGCAGCGCCCACATGGCGGCCCCGCCCCACATCGGCACGCCCTTCGCATGCTTCATGGCCCCATGAGGAGATCCCCCGAAGGCGACGCCCGCGACGACGGTACTCGCAACTGTATGCGATTGGGTCCTTCAAAAATAAATTTTCAGGGCGGTCCGCCCCCCGCCACTTCCCCGCCCACTCTCCCAGCAAAGGCATTTCCAAACCGTTTGTTCCGACGTGTTGCACCGCCTGCGCTGCGGTGGTGGGTCGGCCGAGCTGCCCGCGCGGATGTCCCTTTGCTGGGCGCACTAACCGCTGCAAACGTAGCTGCAGAGAAGGCCGAGACCAAGACAGGCGGGCACACCAATCGTCACGCATCATGCCGAAGGATGGCCAACTCCACTCCAGTTGTGCAATTGTTTGCCAGACTCTACCAGCAAAGCCATATGTTCGGAAGGTTTGCGCGTGGTCACGCAACTCTTCAGCTTTAGCGGAGAGGCTGGGGTCTCTCCGCGCCTGTCTCGGCAATCCGAGAAAAAGCTTCCCTTTGGCGCTATGGCACCCAACTCAAGGGCATGCCCGGGGATAATGAGGGCGTACAGGGCCCACTGCGAGATCCAGCATCGCCCCTTGGGGCGAATGGCAGCGAAGCGGGCACGAGCATGGGTATCTTCGGGGAGGAGTCCACTGCGCGGAAGTCTGGCAATCGCACGCCAAACTCTAGCACCTGGGGCGAACCGCCGCCACGCTGATGCAGCTACCCGCAAGATTCACCTGGTGTTGAGCTTGCAGCGGGTGCCCGTTTAGTTGGAGAGCTGCCACCTGGCGGTGGATGTTTTCACCGACGGTCCAGTCCACGACCTTATCAGGGTGGATTTTAGACCTGAGAGGCGGTCGAAGAGGACGGTCTCGTCAAGAGAAACTTCTAACTCCTTGACAGCGGGCGCGGTGGAGTTGTTGTCGGCGACGAAGGTCATGCTCAGTGATTGTGACAGGTAGCGGAATAGCCCCTCCAGACGCACATCATGAGTTCGATGTCCTTGTCGAGGGAGAAGGAATTTCCTTGAATGTGGCCGCTTGTGCAGCCGGCGTGCCTGAGCCGTCCGAAGGAGGATAAATATTAGGACATATTTCCCTGGGAGAGACGGGCATATCCTGTCGTCGCACTTGCTGCGGGGGGCATATCCTGTCGGCGGATCTGCTGCAGGAGTCGGCTGCCCTCTTCTAGCGTGCGCAGGGAGATGCTGCTGGTGTGCGATGTACCGTCCTCCGCCCCGTTGGGAACAAACGCGATGGGGACATCCACGCTCTGTCCACTCAGGGCTGATGAGCGGGGCGGTGCCGTTGCCCTGGTGGGCCTCGGCCGAGGCCGCGGACCCTGGTGAGTTTCGGCCGGAGATCCTTTTTATAGCGTCGGGGGGTGGTGTAGCATGGTGCAGCTGATTCTGTTCTTCCCGCACGGTTTTATCGGCTCAACCCTGAGCTTGCGCTGCTTAGTGGTGCGTGGTAAGTGGTGCCGAATTCCGTGTTGCGCTTGTGAGCCAGCTCGTTGTATGCAGCGACTGTTCGGTCGACGCCACCACTGCTCTGGAGCCTCCTCCTCCTCCTCCTCCTCCTCCTCCTCCTCCCTCCTCCTATGTGGAAGAATTAACTACCCTTTGGCAGCGCTTGCCAGGTGGCAAGGAGCTACGGAAGATTGGCACGCTCGCGGCGGGGATCTTTCGGGGCCAAGGCGTGCGCTTGCCTGTAGGGTATGTGGCACGACCCAGTCCCGTGCGATTCGTACGGTGACCGTCCCACCGGGCTGAATGGCGCGTGAGGTTTTGCGTCGTGGTCGCCCTGAGAACAAGTGCAGCCGACATTAAAGAGAGAGAGAGAGAGAGAGCGATGGAGAGAAAAAGAACAGCGAGAGAGACAGAGAGAGAGAGAGAGGCTGGGCGCCACTCGCTCTCGAATCTTGTCCATTACCGCTGCGTCTCGTGCTGCTGGTGAGAATGCTTGTGTTGAAGCCTCTGCTGACGCTGCTGCCAACGCGGCTGCTGCTGCCCCTCCCTCTCCCAGCGACATCTGAGGCCGTAGCCCGAGGCTTGCTCACCTGTATGGTGTTGGTGCCTCTGAGGTCGCAGCCCGGAGCTTGGTCAATCGCGACCGCCTCAGGTAGAGGGAGGGAAGTGCTACCAGCCTGGAACATATCCCTATCCCTATCCCTATGCTGCGCATCACCTCCTCACGACGCCAATCTCAGCGATTCCCTTAGCCTTTGAGGGCGCATCCCTACGATTGTCATCGCCGTTTGGCGTGTCAATTTTGGGGATAGGGATAAGTTCGAGGCTGGTGACGCTGCCAACTACACGCTGGCACCAGTCCTGGCCAAGGTCCTGTTCGGCCCCTGGTTTCCTGTGAGTATACGAGGCCTCTTGTCCTCGACAGGGTGACCTGTATACAATTCCAGAGCCCAGACGTGGTATGCCTGCACTGAACCTGGTGGCGAGCGAGGGGGGAACTGAGAAGGAGAAGGCCTTCTGAGAAGGCGGCTGGACTTCTCAGGAGCCCTCGCGCAGTCTGAGAAGTTGTCCATGTCTTCGGGGAAGGCTTAGAAAACTTCTCAAAGGCTGGGGGACTTCCGAACCTTCTGAGAAAGCCTTCTCCTTCTCATTTCCCCCCCTCGCTCGCCGCCGATGAAACCCAGAACTCCCGAGCCTATCCCGGGGACCAGTTTCCCGTGGCGTGTCATTTGCTGGTGCGGCCCCGAGCTCGCCAATGCCCACAGAGGCCAGAGTCTACAGACGAATAAGTGCCTTGTTCCCTTCTGCTAGATCTGGCATATGAGGTGGTCATGGTCGGGGCGTCCTGAAAGCCATACATCTCAATGGATGTGATCGGAACTTTACTCAAACAAAAACGGTTTCTTCATTCACGGCTAAGGCCATCGCGCTAGAGGAAACAAGAAGCAACACCGCCCGCAAATGACAAGGCCGTTAGCACATTGACGTCAATGACTTGACTTGGGCTACAACGTTCTCTGCATTACCCCGGGCGAGGCAGAGGTGGGTGGCGCATTTCCGATGCCACTTGCGCCACCAGACACTACGTGCCAGAAATCGACTGCGGCTGCCTCGAGTGCAGACCAGGCAGACAACGAAACACGGAACAAGGAAGAGGGGAGAAAACAACTCATGGGAGGTTATCGTAAGAACGAATAGGGGCGAATAAAACCCGATTATGGGGCCGTTGGGACAGACAAGCAAGATAAGTCGTGGATTAAGCCGAGACCAAGCCACACTAAGTTGGATCAGGCCAGCTGTCAATCACGGATAGGCCAGCGCCGGTGATGAACGTAACCTCCCAGAAGTTGCATCCGAAAGGAGGGGAGAGGAGCACGACAACGAAGAACGAGGACGAGAGGGCAACCGACATGGGAGGGAAACCGACATATACCCATACAGAAGGATGCAAGGGCCTTGAGCTCCCATGCCGAAGCTTTCCGAGCGGGGCTGGACATTGAGGATGACCTAAGAGGCAAAGATGCAAGGGTACTCTGGGAAAGCCGTTCATCCTTACTATCAATGTCGACTGCACTCCCCTGACCTCTGCCGGGCCGTGTTCTTACCAGAATTTCGAAGCGAATCCTGCCGTGGCGACGAGGGCCTCCCAGGGGGCCCAAACATGCGAAAACAAGCGCAGCTGAGAAGTTCTCCTCCCCCGACCAGCGTCAGCTGCTATGCGTTGTTGAAATACCGCAACGTGACAGAATTTTTCGGCCGCTTTCCAAAACGCCAATTCGGCGGCTAGCCCAGGGACTTTTCAGAAGGCTCGGAAAGCCTCGGGCCTTCTGAACGCTTTTCTGAGCCTTCTCCTCAGACAGACACGGCTTCTCAGAAGGTCGGAGGGCTCCCGAGAAGCCCCGCCTTCCGAGAAGGCCTGCCCCCGCTCACTTACCCCCAGGCGCGCTGCAGATTTTCGGACGCGTCCCAGATCACCCACGACCGTCAATTTTCGGTGACGGATGTCGGGCGCGCCAAATTGTAGTCGCGACCAGAGGGGATCGAATTTCGGTAAGACGAGACGGCGCGTCGGGGTTCAAGCTAGGGTTTCGAAATCGTCGACGGCTATTTCCTTTCCGGAATTCGCGACCGCATACCGGATTTCTGTGACGACTGGTTCGTCCAGATCGTTACCATAAATGTTCGGCAGCCAGTGGTCTGGGATTCGGCCTCTGTTGGGGGCGACGATGCTGCCATGCTGCGGCTGGCTCAAGGTGCGTTCCAGGAGTTGTATGAAGGGGCCCTGGGACACACAAATAAATACACTCAAATAAAAATATCCCCCATAGTTTCCTAATTTTTCTGGGTTTTTGTCTTCCCCCCCACTTCCCATGGTTTCCCATATTTTCTGGGGAATCGCCGATTCATTGTGTCTGAGTGTTTTTTCCCTCCTGATTGTAGGGTGTCCAACGGCCCTCGTTGCTGCCGCCCGTGAAGTGCGTCAGGTATAGTTTAGGAACCAAGAAGACGCGGCACCACCACCACCTGGGACCACCAGCGGGAGGAGCAGGATAGGGAGCCCACAAAGAACGTACGCGCCCAGCTATGTACGTGAACACGGCCCCTCGATCCGCGAAACTGGCCGCGTGATACGAGCATTCGGGCAATGCGTACTCTCGAAACCAGCGTGTATTCATGTATGTGTACGTCCTTCTTGCGCTCCTGATAGGAGGTGGTGGGTCCACATGGTGGTGTGGACCCCCCCACCTATCCCCAGCTCGGGGAGGCATCGTGGACCTCCTCGCTGGATGTGGCCTCCCTGGTGGTGGTGGTGGTGGTGGTGGTGGTGTCGTCTCTCCTTCCCCCTTGTAATCGGATAAACCCTGACCATCAAAAACATCGTGGAACGTATCATGATCATGACCTCGTCCTCCTCTTGTCCGGAATCCCTCGCTGAGACCCGGGGGCTGGGGCGAACGTATCACTTTCTGTTCTGCGCCGCGATCGCAACCGCGAACACAAGCACACCGCGCCCGTCAAAGGGCAAGAGAAGGTCGACTGAGCATCAAATCCGCTTCCCCTCCCAGGGGCTATACGCGATCCCGTCGATGAGCCGCCGCCGCCCTCTGACAATGCGCCTGGGGACGGGCTCGTACCGCTCTGAAGCTCGATAGCGACAGTACTAGAAGAAGAAGAAGACGAAGAAGAAAACACACAGATATAAACATAAACTTTTGGCGCTCCGCGCGGATTTCTTGGCTTCGCGCTGGACCCCGCTCCCTGGCGCGCTCCGCGCGCCAAGGGCGGCGCCGAAGGCGTCGCCCGGGGGCCTTGGCGCGGATCCAAGAAATCCGCGCGGAGCGCTAAGAGTTCATGTTTATGTGGTTTTTTCTTCTTCGAAGTCAAATGGCCGGCCGCGGGGGAACAGAACAATGCTGATATCGCCACTTCCTGGCCCTTCTCCTGGTGGCACATTCTGGCCAGGCGTCTGGGGCGAGTCCAGCCCAAGCGGCGAGGGAAGGGCAGCGGTGCGGGCAGCTGCTCGTCCTCCGAGGGGGCCAACATGAGAGGCCGGTCCCCAGGACCGGGGTGGGGACCTCTGGAGGCTCACTCTGCGAAAATGCCACGACGCCAGAGAACTGGGCCCCATGCCTGGGCCTGCGAAATGCCTGCGACGGCAGCTTCAACGCACGATGCGTCGTCAGAAAACTACGGCCCGAGCTGTCGACACACATCCGGACGCGGCACCCGTCGAGCGGATCCTTTCGTCAGGGTTCCATAGAGGCCCCCAGAATGGGGTCCGAGCAAGATGTGGTCGCAGGATTGCGCTGCATCGTCGATGTATTTTGATGCATCGCCGTTGTCAGTGGTGCAGCGGCGACGCTGGCGTGGAGAACATCGGGCTCCACATCGAGCCGCACCGCCAATGCATCGGCGATGCCGTGCGATGATCGGACCCCATCTACGTACTCGAACCCCATTTGGGATGCCTGGGCTTCAAGGTCTTAGGACGGGTTGGCAGAAACCTGACGATGGTCTCTCTCCCGCCGCACGACGTTCAGCGGTGCCGGAGTCGTCGCCATGGCGCCGAGTGGAATCAAAATCCCACCCCTGCACATCGGCCAAGTGGGCCACTCTCCGAGTCGGTGCGACTCGAACGGCGTAAGCCACAATGCGAACAGGAGAAAGAACGACGCGCACGAGGACGAGTGCGAGGAGGAAAAGAACGAGGAAATGGACGAGGAATCAAATGAGGGGGAGGGGAGGGAAGGTGACGAAATGGACACCAGCGAGTGTGAGGACAAGACTGCGGCGAGGATACGGAGCGCAAAAAGGAGATCAAGCAGGCAACCCAACGCGCTACACGCGACGCGGCTAACGTGAATCGGAGATCGAGCGTATCCCCTGGCTGCGGGGGTGTCTCTTACCTTGGCCCATGGCGAGTAGCCAAATTGCGGGCAGTGGCGTGCGATCGCCGAGCAATGCTGGAGGATGCAGGCACGCAGTGCGACCACAGTCAACATATATCATCGGGACGGGTTGTAAGGACGCAGCGGCCTTGACCGCCGAAGGAGCGCTCCGAATGACGTCGCCCGCCCCCAGGGTACCCGAAGAAGCTGGCCAGTGAAAACGGTGAACGACTGGCCGCAGGGGCAAGGACGCAAGGGTATATACCCTGAGGGAAATCGCAAGGGGACCCCAAGGAAAGTCGCTAGCCCTTAGAATGGGTTCTGACTGAGGCATGAATCGAAGATCGAGTGTAGCTCCTGGTCGTTGGAGCGCCTCTTGCCTCCGCCCATGGCGAATAGCCACGTTGCGGGCAGAGGCGTGCGATCGCCGAGCATTAGAGGCAGAGAACATGCATGAAACATTCACTTTCGGAGGTCCGCGTGGATGTCTTTGATCTGCGCTGAACTCTCCTCCCTGGCGCGCGGAGCACGCCAGGGGCGGCGCCGGAGGCTCCGCCAGTGTCCCAACGCACATCCAAGAGATCCGCGCGGACCTAAGACGAAGCTATGATGAGGATACAATCGGGTACGGATGAATCGAGAATCTCCGAGATCCGGCGGATCTAGGGGATGCATCGGGCGCCGCGGCCTTCTCGGAGCGTTCCGGAACGCTCTGAGAGCGTTCGGGAATGCTCTGGAACGGATCTATCCTCGCCCAGGCCCCGTCCGAGGACCTCCGAAACTTGCTGTTTTTCGGCCGACTGCTCTTCTTCGACGCGCTGGGGTCGGCTATACGCAAGAGTGACCCTGGGTAAGAGTGACCTTTGGTACGCGGCTTTTTGGGGGACGCGGGGGGACCAAACCTGGGCGCGCCAGCAGCTGCTTCCGCCTCGTTTCTAGCCATCTGGGGACCCATCTGTGCCCGCACCACAGGTCACTCTGGCGAAAGGTCACTCTTACGTCTAGTCGATAGAGGCTCCGCCAGTGCGCTCTGGAACGGACTTATCCTCGTCCAGGCCCCGTCCGAGGGCCTCCGAAATTTCTTGTTCCCAACCATCCTGTGGTGTTGGGTCCTCGTTTTGAAGAGACGGTGCCCCGCGTTCCCTCCTCCTCCTCCCGCTGCCCCCTCCCTCCTCCCCCTCTTCCCTGCGTTTCACCCACCCAGTACAGCGCTTCGTGGCTCCATAGGGAGCTCCACCGAAGGCCCCAGTGCCCGCGCCCGCATGCGTCAGCCACACCCATTTCGGCACACCCCTCACACGTTTCGTGGCTCCATAGGGAGCTCCGCCGAAGGCCCCAGTGCCCGCGCCCGCATGCGTCACGCACACCCATTTCGGCACACCCCTCACACGTTTCGTGGCTCCATAGGGAGCCCACCGAAGGCCCCAGTGCCCGCGCCCGCATGCGTCACGCACACCCATTTCGGCACACCCCTCACACGTTTCGTGGCCCCATAGGGAGCTCCGCCGAAGGCCCCAGTGCCCGCGCCCGCATGCGTCACGCACACCCATTTCGGCACACCCCTCACACGCTTCGTGGCTCCATAGGGAGCTCCGCCGAAGGCCCCAGTGCCCGCCCGCATGCGTCACCCACACCCATTTCGGCACACCCTCACACGTTTCGTGGCCCATAGGGAGCTGAAGGCCCCAGTCACCCAATTCGGCACACCCCTCACACGTTTCGTGGCCCCATAGGGAGCTCCACCGAAGGCCCCAGTGCTGCGCCCGCATGCGTCACGCACACCCAATTCGGCACACCCCTCACACGTTTCGTGGCCCCATAGGGAGCTCCGCCGAAGGCCCCAGTGCCCGCGCCCGCATGCGTCACCCACACCCATTCGGCACACCCCTCACACGCTTCGTGGCTCCATAGGGAGCTCCACCGAAGGCCCAGTGCCCCGCCCGCATGCGTCACGCACACCCATTCGGCACACCCCTCACACGCTTCGTGGCTCCATAGGGAGCTCCGCCGAAGGCCCCAGTGCTGCCGCCCGCATGCGTCACGCACACCCAATTCGGCACACCCCTCACACGTTTCGTGGCCCCATAGGGAGCTCAGCCGAAGGCCCCAGTGCCCGCGCCCGCATGCGTCACGCACACCCATTTCGGCACACCCCTCGCACGCTTCGTGGCCCCATAGGGAGCGCCACCGAAGAAGATATTCACAATTGCGGTACTCACAATTGCATATGGTTGGGTCCTTCGCCAGGATAATTTTTCGGCCACTGTTCTTCCTCGACGCTCTGGGGGCAGCGGCGTGCGGTGCCCGAGCGAGGCCCGAGGGCGAGGAGGTGCACGGCGGGGGGCCTCGATGCCCTCGACCGACGCCACGTGCCCCGCGGCCTCCCGCGCCAGGCGCGCAGGCTCCGCGAGCAGCGCCATCACCTGGCCGACCGCGCGGGCGCCGGGCAGCTCGAGGGCCGCGAGATCGGCGAGCCGCCAGGGGGGGGGGGAGGGGGGATCGGAGGGGGTGTCGGAGGGGGAGAGGTAAAGTTGAAGGCCCTTGGGGGGTCCATGATCTCGAGCGCCCCCCTCGGGGGCTTTGAAACTCGGGGAGGGCCCCAAGGGAAACATGTGGATGCCAGCCCCCCTTTGTTTCAGGGAGGCAGCCCCTGAGGCGTCGAGGCCCCCTCTCCGTGGCGTGGAGGGTGGTCCTCGTGCCCCTCCGGCGGGGGAGGGGGAGGGGGAAGCACCGTGGAGGGGGGGGCAGGGGAGACAGCAAGAAGGCTCTGGGCTGCGAACAGACAGGCCCCAAAGGCAGCCCCTGCTGGCCTCAACAAGTCTCTGGAGGCAGCCCGGCGCGGTCTCCACATCCAGGCGCCGCCTCTGGACGGCTCGGCGGACCAGTGCAGGGCGGCAGGGACTACCCAGGGGGCCTGTCGGAACGCGGCCCCAAGCCTCACCAGGAGAGAGTGAAGAAGCCAGGGAGGGGGGAGGGGGGGCCCAGACCTCCAAGCGTCGCGATGCGAACAACATTACGGACAAAGAGTTCTCTCCCCCAGAGAACTGGAACGTGGGGGCCTCTGTCGGGCCACAGATGCATTAAAAGCAACGGCTCGCAACAAGAAAAGCGATCGCAGGGCTGGGATCAAGATATCCACTCGGCTAAATTGTGGAAGGTCACGACGTCAGAAGTATGGGGGAGAGGGGGGACTGGATGAAGGAGGCGGACTCTGAAGAGTGAGGTACGCATACAAGAGAGCGGCCATCATACAAAATGTGGCAGGCTCTCACTGCATCTAGTCAATGTACGCATCGAGAAACAATTGACCAATCCATCCTCCGACGCAGCGTAAATGTGGAATTCACATTATGTCACTTCCGTTCGAGATGAAATGGAGAAGAAGTCGCCACCCCCACGCCTTCGCCGCAGAGGAGGATAAAAGCATTGCCGTGCCCTCGCCTTGTCACTCCAAAGAAAAGAAATCTGATGGTATGAACATCAGAAAAAGCTTCCTCCAGGGAGATGGTATGGTCTGCGCCTCGACGCCACAGGACAGCGACTGGTATATTCGCACCCTTCCAAGGTTCGTCCTACAAAGAATTGTCCAGAACGCAGCTGCCATTACCACCAGACTCCAGCTCGGACGCCGCGACTGGATTCGGGCACGCGCGCCGAATGTGCTGCAGAAGGCGCGGACACGACTCCCCGAGGGGATGCACCGACTCCCTGGCGCCGGGTCGCGAGAGGAGCGACGTCGAGACGAGCTCGCAAGAACCGCAGTCGGTCGTGCCGCTCCCGCAGGTGCCGGCCGAGCCCGGCGAGGCAGGGTCGCCGACGTGTGCCGCCTCCTCGCTGGCGTCCTCGCCCTGGGTCAGGTCGAACACCGGAGCCGCCCGCCCATCTCCAGAGCCCTCCGGACGCAGCGGCACCTGGAACCTCCGCTGGGGCCACGGGCCGCCACGGCGCGCCTTCACGGCTGCTGCGGAGCCCTCGGAGCCCACCTGGCCTGGCCAAGCCCGCTTGGTGCCACCGCCGCCTGCTGATGTGCTGGGCGAGGCCGCGGGGCAGGGCGCGCGCAGGGAGCGCTGCCCCCACACGACGTCCCCCTCGAAGGCCGGCAGCGGCCACGGCGGCTGCAGTCTCGCGCCGCCGGTGGGCTCTGGCACCGTGCGCCACGTGAGGCTCACGCGGTCGAAGTGCTGCTGGCCGGCCGCCTGCGAAACCTCGGCGCCCGCAAAGGGGACCCCGTGCTTGAGGTAGTACCGCGCGAATCCGAAGAACAAGTACACCGAACGCCTGGGCAGCTCCAGCAGCAGCCCCTCGCGCCTCGCCTGCAGCTGCTGCGCCAGGCGCAGCGGGAAGGCCTGGCCCTTCCGCGGCCCGCGTCTGGAGAAGAATATGTGCCCAGGCTCGGCCCCGAGGTTGACCCCTGCTATCACCTCGCCGTGCGAGCTGCGCTGATCAAAATGCATGCCGATGGCCTGCTCGACCTCCGGCCGCCCGGAGCACGGCTCGCTGCCGGCCTCCGAGCCTCTCGTGTACCTGTTCACGAACAGCTGGTTGAACGCAGCTTGCTTGCCGGAGCGGGCTGCTGGCGACATGGCGTACGTGCGCACCGCCGCAGAGTCGCGTACCAACGCCTGCAGCCGAGAGCAGAGAGCCTGCAAGCACTCGGGCACCTGCGTAAACGCGTACCGCTTGTCCACCGTGTAGTCGCACTTCGACAGCGTGGGGCCGAAGTTTGCCATCTGTCCTCTCCAGCCGCGCCGCTGCCACACGGCGTCGCCCGCGCGCAGCTCGGCGAGGGCCTCGGCCTCCTCGCCGGCCCCCACGAAGTCCTCCACGACGAGGACGCCCAACCTCTCGCGCACCTCGGGGTCCGTGAGGTCACCGGGCCGCGCGCGCAGCAGACAGTCTCGGCATGGTAAGGCTTCGGACTGCGCATGGCGCACAGTCAGCCCCCATGGGTTGTCCCGACTGGCCTCAACAGGCCCTCCGAGCAGTCCAAGGCGATCTCAGCACCTGAACCCTGGGGCGCGGAGCGCCCAAGGGGCGCCGCCAGAGGCGGCGCCAGGGCGTTGAGACGGCTCTGGACTGCTCGAGGCCATGGAGGCCATCCAGGACTACAGTCAAAATCCATCTCGTCACAAGGTGAGGATGCAAGACTCTTGGAAGTTCCATTCGCCACTTGGAGCTCCTTGGACGTCAACATTGGCTCAGGGTGGGCCGCAGAGGCAGCGATGCCAGGGAAGCCCTGATGAAGCAACGCCTTCTTACTATAATTACTTGGATTTGACTGCACCTGCGGGGGGGGGGGAGCTGCCTGTGCGCCACCCGAGGCCTTACCAGGTCTCGGCTGGGGCCGAAGGCTGCCGCCATCGCCCCCTCGGCGGACGCGCCCGTGCCCCACTCGGCCGCCACCCGCTCCCAGTCGAACAGGCCCGCCGGCGCACACCTGCCGCCCCCACGCCCGAGTGACCCTTATCTGGACGGCCTCTGTGTGCGCGGCCTCGCCGGGGCGGAGGGGGGGGGGGGAAAGGCACCAATCCAGGCGTGCAGGCCAGCGCTCCGCGTGGGCCCCCGCTCAGAGGCCCCTCCGGCCGCAGGTCACCCGTGCGTGCCGCCGCCGAGCCTGTCGGGCAGCGGGTGGCCCGCCCCGGCCGCCGTGCGCCGGGCGTGCCTCGCGAGGGCCGCGAAGAGGGCGGCCTCGCCTCCCGCGCCCGCCGCCCCGCCGCCGGCGGCAGGCCGCGGCGCCCCCATCGTGCAGGGCGCACGGCGCCCATCGGGCGAGGCTTGTGAGCCTCAGAGGAGGAGGAGGAGGAGGAGGAGGAGGAGGAGGAGGAGGAGGAGGAGGAGGAGGAAGGTGCCGACACCGCGGTTCGTCCTGCAGAGGTCTCGTCGCCACGGCTGGATTGGAGGCGTCCTGGAGGGGTCTGAGTAGATGGGGTCGGAGGATCCCAGCGCATGGCCGGTGCGGCTCGATGTGAAGCCTGACTTCCTCCACGCCGACGTCGCCGATGCATCGCAAACGTCGCCGACACATGGACCCACGCATCGACGATGCATCGGCGATGCATCGACGTTGCATCCGCGATGCATCGGCGATGCGGCACGATCCTCCGACCCTACTCGGACCCCATCTGGGAGGCCTTGACGCATTCTCCTCGAAATTCTAGCCAACATGCACCTCTGGAGAAGTCCGGGGAGTAACGGAATCGGTGCTTCTGCGCCCCCCAGAGCCAAAGGCAACGGGCGCCCACGCGCGGGCCCATCTAAGAGGCCAACCTGTCTGGGCCGCGCCTCGCCGCAGCCGAGCCCTCCCGCCCCCCCGCGAGAGCCAGAGCATCCGCCCGCCCCTGCAGATGGGCACGTGAAGGAGGGTGGGGAGGAGGCGGGGAGGGAATCTCGCAAAAGCGACTCCGCGGGTCCTGCCGCTTGCTGCGCTCGGGTGCGTCTGCGCCACGCCTCCGGAGGAGGGCATCATGGAAGTCCACCTGGAGCTGCGAATGCCCGTTGGACTCCCGGGCCTCCCTGGCACTCTGGAAGCCGCTGAAGACTCCTGAGAGCTTTGCGGTGGTCCGAAAACCGCTTCGAAATCCCTGGAAGCCCTCCGGACGCCCAAACGCCCATGGGACCCATGGAGGCGCCTTGCAGGTCTCCTGGAAAGCCCCAGAAGCTCGCTAATCACGGGAGCTCCCTGTGAGCTCCCCAAATCACCTAGAAGCCCCTGAAGGCCACAGGCTCCGGAAGCTCCCCGAAAACAACGTGAGGCCTTGCGGATGCCCACTCGGGGGCCCCTGGGACCTCCTGCGGTCCGTTGGGTACCCATGAAAGTTCGGAATGGATGCCGTGATGATACGATTTGCAACCCCTACCGAAACCTTTCTGGACATTCTGCACGACAGCATCTCGAGGTGGGGTTTGCGTTTGCACATGCGGGGGCGCGACGCCGCGCAGTGAGCAGCAGCAGCAGCAGCAGCAGCAGCAGCAGCAGGAAGACTGGGATGAAGAAGACGAAGAAAAGCAATTGCACAGCATTGGGAAAGGGGCAATTCGGCTCCAGGAGAAGCGCTCATCCAAGGCACTCGCGCCCAACTCTGGCCCCCGAGCACAACAACTTCGATCGCTTTTCCCCCTCCCTCCCTGACAGCGTCTTCTTTTTTCCCCCTTGCATCCTTTCGGCAGCGAGTGTGGGGGGAAGTGAGAAGGAGAAGATCTTCTCAGAAGGCTCGGAAGTCCCCTGGCCTTCCGAGAAGTTTCTAAGCCTTTCCCGAAGACAAGAACTTCTGAGAAGGCCTTCTCCTTCTCATGTCCCTTTCTGCCTCGCCGCCGATGTTTCCCCCCTGCCTCTATGCCACCCCTCGGAGGAGAGGAGGGAGAGGAGGGAGAGGAGGGACGAGGGAGAGGAGGGAGACAAGCTAGGTGCGCTCGCGTCATATCTGACACCCTACCTCTCCCTCCAATCCCTTACCGTTGGCGTAGATCTCGTCTCTATTCGCACAGTCGGATGTCGTAGCATGGCGTGGTATTACATGGCATAACATGGTGTTGAATATTAACGCGTAGCATGCCATAGTAAGGCGTGGCGACGCCTCAGTGTGGGGAGGAGGGGGGCTTCTGTGGCCCAAGAAGTCAACGAATCAACGCCGGATGTGTAATCACTTCCGATGGTTTCATTAAGGGGGGCATTGTTTAAGATTTGGGAGCCTATTTGGAAGGACCGAAACCCATGCCGTGGCATGGCAACTGAAATTCGCCGGCCCAGCGGGCCAGAGGCGTGCTAAGATCTCCAGTAACTGGTTAACAATTCTATAGTTCGCGCGCGGGGGGCGGCCCCTGGGGGTCCCCGGAAGAAAAGTACCCCGGGCGACTCCGGGCTGATCCCCGGGCGACTCCACCAGAGAGGGGCCTCCCTGAGGCGCAAGAGGAACCTAAAGAGGAGTGAAAAACACGATCCTCGGAAGCACGATCCTCGAACCGCGGTGGGCCGATTGGGCACTCGCGCACGGGCTCCTGGATCCTGGGCTGCGTCCCAGGGCCGATCCAGCTGCAGCGCCAACGAGGCGTCCCCCCCCCCCCCCCCTGGAGGCTCCACAGAGACGAAGCATCCCCGAACGGCACCATCCTCGAAGCACGATGGTCGAAAGGCCCACCCACCCACCCTCCTTCTACCGGGGAAGAGGCGCTCGCGCACGGGGCGCGCAACCGCAGGGTGCACTCTGGACTGCGCGAGGCCGCAGGCCCCTGCGGCCCCGCGGCGACTGCGACTGCCGCTGCGGTCGGTCGCCTCTGGGAGGGGCCTCTGGGAGAGCGTTCTCCTCTGTGTGTTATCGGGCGGGGGGGGGAAGGGGGGCGGGGGGGCGGGCGATATTACCTAAGCCTTCCGCCTTGGGCAGCCCCACATCTGCTCGCGCGCACGATTCTCAGTACTCCGTGCCCCCTCCGGACCTGCGCAACCCACCAGGCCAGGACATCCGGGGGGGGGGGGGGGCAGGCGGGCCCGATAACCCCGGGTGCTCGCCGGATCCTGACCACACGCAGTCTCTCGTGTGGTCGGCCGAGGAGCTCGGCGCACCGACGCCCCAGCTGCCCTCTGCCCGTGGGGCGCTGGAGCGCCTGTACGCCGAGCTCCTCCACCGAGCTCCTTGGCCCCTGACCGACCCAGTGACGTGGCGTATACCATACATACATCGAGGCCCTCCGAGCCTCCCTGCCTCCTCCCCAGACCTCCGGCGCCCTGACGAGGCACCAAGCGGAGGCTCTCTGTCGTTCTTCCTCCGTCTGCAAAACCGCTGACGGGCTCACGGGGGCTTCTGGAAAACGATCCGGCATGAGAGGCCGGGCCACCGGGACGTCGCCGAGAGGTCCGTGGCCCCCACAAAGAAGACATCGAACGCCGGCGGTCTGGGTCCCCACTCCCCCTGCCCCATCCGCTGGCCCCGCCCCCTGCTGCCCCCCGAGGTCGCAGAGCGGGACAGGGAGGGATCGATGTGTTGTACTCCTGCCCTCGTCACGTGGTCAGGGACGAAGGCAGGATGCGACCAAACCGATCACGACTGAACCTGGCACTAGATCAGTTAATCCCCCCACATGCTACATCTGGCTCTGCTTCTACGCCCGTCCTTTCGCCTCCATCCTTCCATATCGACACCGATGCTTGTTCTTATTCCGATGCCTTCGAGGTTTGGAACCGAGTTGGCATCACCGAGATACGCGTCAGAAGAGACATATGGCCTGCATTGCTGGGTGCCTCGCTCTACGTGCAAGCATCACGACCCCTCCGCTACCAGCCCTAAAAATATAGTCGGCATCTACATTCCTCCCCGTGGTCTGAGGATCCGTGCGCAGAGAACTGGAGGCGGCAGGAGACACGGACTATAAGAGAAACATAATAACAAGGGGCCGCTGCAACATACACGGGCTCGCGAGGGGGCGAGACGGACGACACATGGTACACTTGTACAGCACCGTGAAGAGGATGAGAAGGGGTAGTTAGTAACAAGAGGGAGGCGGAATACAAGAGAGGAGGGAAAGGACGAGATACTAGCCAAGCCCCCCCACAGCAAAAACGAATGTTCGACAGGCAGAGGTCCCGACTGGTACTAACTTTGACGTTCCGGCGGCTGTCTGGCCAGCGCAATGCGGCGACAACTACGGCATCAAACTCCGACACACCCTCCAGAAGGCCGCGCCGCCCTGTAGAATGCGGTGGACCAGGGGCCCCAGGGCGGGGTTGAGGCGAAGCCCTGCCCTTCAGCGAAACAGAAGCGCCCTCGAAGCGAGGTGGAGGTGGGATCCGAGCTTCAGCGCTACAGAAACGCCCTCTGACGGAGCCGCGACGGCCGGACGAGACACGGCCCAAGACTCTGATGCAGAGGGCGGCGACGTCGCGGAGCAACGGAGAGATTCCACCTGCGCTGTCGGAGGTCCGTGCGGAGTTCTCTGGAAGGCGCTGGGCCCCGCCCCCCTGGCCCGCTTCGCGCGGCAGGGGCTGTGCTCTCACGCCGCCGCCAGGGGGGCCAGCGCCGCCCCCAGACCTCAGAAAGTCTGGTGTGTGTGTGTGTTATGCAATGCTCGATCCTCCGAAGCTCTGCTGATTGGCGCAGGGATGGAAGCGGGAGGAGGCGACCTCGTCCACCGACGTGCCCAGCGGGGGTCGAAGGTGGACGTAGACCACCACCGACACCGCCGACAGGAGCAGCCAGACGTGCTCCGACTGCAGAAGCGGCCCGACCTGGGCCTCCAGCGCCTAGAAGGCCACGGGGAGGGCGGCGAGAGGGCAAGCTCAATCAACGTCAAACCGGAAAATCGGATCGCATCAGAATGTGCGCCGGATCGGGTTGGATCGGCGCGGCGTCCTAATCGAATCAGATCGGCCGCGCCAAGATTCCCAGCAACGCCTTGCAAGCATCGGTGCGCATCGGACCGTCGGAATACCATAGCCGAATCGGACTGGGCACGCTAAGATCGATATTGAATCGGATCGTCTGGATCCGAATTCAACCTGCAAGGGGGAGGCTCGAGGAGGGAGACGCGAGAAGGGAGGGGGAGAGATTGACGAACAAAAACTACATAATGGATAGCGTTTGGGAACTCAGCGCGGATTTTTTGGTTGGCGCTGGACCCCCCTGGCGGCGCCTCCGGCAGCGTCCCTGTCGCGCTTTGCGCGCCAGCACAGGGCCACCGCCGCCCCTAGCAATTCGCGTGGGCCTCCAATAATTCTACTTATGCTGCTTATTCTTTCCGAAGACGAGCAGCGAAGGCGGGAGGGAAAGGAAAAATGCAAAGGGGTCGGCATTAAAGGTCGTGCGACAAGGAAGCGGGTGAGAAAAACGGAGACGAGCGGACAAACGGAATGTCTGGGTGAGCCGCAGATGCGGGGACCGAGCCACTTACTACTTGCACGGGCGGTGAATGGGGGGAGGGGCTGGTAGGCAGGAAAAGAAAATAGAGGAAAGGAAACAAAGGGATATCCCTTCGTGGCGGCATGAGATCGCCAGATGGGGCATTTTGGAAGACCGCGGAGGCGTCCTGAGGCAACAAAAACAGCCCAACATATAGAAAAAACCCAGAAGCATGTAATTAGCCTGGCGAGTGACCCAACCATATGCAGGCATGATTGCCGCAGGGCAAGCGGGCAGTAGGGGGGGGAGCTCCCTATGGGGCCACGAAGCGTGTGACGGATGAGCCAAGCGGGCTGGGCGCCGCCTAGCGGGCGCTGCCATTTGGGTTTTCGGCGGGGCTCCCTACGGGGGCTGCGCAACGCGTGAGGGGTGTGCCGAACTTTGGGCGGTGGCGCCATGCAGGCGCTGCTGCTGGGACCTTCGGCGGAGCTTCATAGTACCACGGAAAAGATGAGTGGTGTGCCAAAATGGGGCGGTGGCGCCATGCGGGCGCTGCCATTTGGGCCTTTGGTGGGGAGGGTGCCTGTGTGGCCCCGAAGCGCGTGAGGGGTGTGCCAAAAGTTGGGCGGTGGCGCCATGTGGGCGCTGCCGTTTGGGCTTTCGGTGGAGCTCCCTATGTGGCAACGCCACGTGTGAGAGGTGTGCCAAAATCTGGGCGGTGGCGCCATGCGGGCGCTGCCATTTGGGCCTTCGGTGGAGCTCCCTATGGAGCCACGGAACGTGTGAGGGGTGTGCCAGAATTGGGGCGGTGGCGCCATGCGGGCGCCACCTTCGAGCCTCCAGTGGAGCTCCCTGTGGGGCCACGAAATGTGTGAGGTGTGTGTGTGTGCGTGTGTGCCAAAATTTGGGCGGTGTCGCCATGCGGGCGCTGCCTTTGGGCCTTCGGTGGAGCTTTTTGGAGCCACGACACGTGAACGGTGTGCCAAAATTTGGGCGGTGGCGCCATGCGGGCGCTGCCATTTTGGCTTCACGTGGTGTGCGAAAATAAGGCGGTGGTGAGGTGTGTCAAAATGGAACGGTTGCGTTATGCGGGCGCTGCCTTCGGTTGAGCTCTCTATGGGGCAACGAAACGTGTGAGGTATGTGCCAACATTGGAACGGTGGTGCCATGTAGGGCAATGCCAAGTGGGCCTTCGGTGGAACTTGATGGGGCCACGAAACGAGTGAGGGGTGTGCCGAAGTGGTTGACATGCGGAGGGCGAAAAGTAAGGATGGGAGGAGGAAGGAACGGCGGGAGGAGGAAAGGAGAGGAGGGGAGGGGAGAGGAGAGGAGGGGAGAGAAGACGCGGGGCACTCTCTCTTCAAAACGAGGACCCAAAACCGTAGGACGGTTGGAATAAACATCCAAACGGTGTTTGGAGGCTTCCCGAATGGGGCCCGAGCTGATGGGGTCGCCCAATCCCCGCCGCGTCGACGATGCATCGGCGATACGCCGGCGACGTAGTGAGCTCCAGATCGCGCCGCAGCGCCGATGTTTTGGCGATGCTGCGCGGTCCTGGGGGCGGACTTCTTCTGGCCCTCACTTGGACAACACACATCCTGTGACGCTGCCCGACCGCTGCATAAGACGGTGGGGGCCCCCAATATGCGGTAACCCACGGTAGGCCTCCGTTGCTCCATTTTCCACGATCCGTTGCCTCACGCATGATTCCTCGCTGTCGACCTCCAGACCTGTCGGTAGGGCGGACCAAACGTTTTGCCATATACTTCCTTACCATGCACGATCCTGAGGCTTGCAACCTCAAAGAGCGGGGACCCCAAACAGTGTGTTCCTAGCAGTACACGTGGTACACCGTACATTGTACCATGTATGTGAGGCGATCGATGTGGTGCGATATATGTAGTGACATCTAATACGAGCACTCTACGTTGTGAAATATATGCTTTGCCATCTATATAATGCATTCAACGTGGTAGCTCGATGTGGTATAAACTGTGTGGTGCGCGATCTATGCTACGCAATCTTACTGGGGAACCGTATGTTCTGCAACCTATGCAATGCAATTTGTGGTGCAATGGATGTTTGTCCGCAATGATTTGTCAACTCCACTTTTCGCGCAATCATCCCACCCACCAAACCACTGCTTGGTTTCAAACCCATGCGGCGGCGACTGCGACGACTGCTTGACGCAGGCTGGCGCATCGCTGCGGCCGCGCTAGCGCGCGCAGACTCGCGCGAGCGTGAATGGCGGTGGCTTCTCCTGGGGGCGGCAAGCACGAACAAAAACGTACATTGGGCACACGCGCGTAACAGAAGCACGGAGTCCAAAGCACCACTGAACACGTGCACTATGCTGTAAGCTGCCAGCGTAAGCCTGCATGCGACTCGCTGCAAGTCGCACGCGCGCGAAGGAACAACACGTCTTGGAGCAAAGCCACATTCCCTTGGAAAGCCGAAATGCAACCCCAGGTGCGAAACATATTGCAAATGCCTCGCGCAAGCTCGCTTGCCTGGCATATTGTCCTGACCGCAACCGTTCGCACATATTCAGACGCTTGCACCTGTTGTGCTCCACGGGGTCAAAGGGGGTCCCAGTCTGTAGGGAGGCGGGCTCGGCAGAACACTCCTGAAGGTAGCAGCTCGGGATGCAAGCAATCCGCTTCTGCGTGTAGCGATGCTTGCCATCTAAGACTTCATAATGCGAGTTCCCCTGCCGACGCCAGAGACGGTGAACCATCCACGCAATGGGTGTGCCAGCTGCCGAGGGAAAGGACTCCTTGGGTATGCTTAAAAGCCACGCCGCGACGGGCTACTAGACCCGCCTCAAAAATATCCTGATCAGAATGCGGTCCACGAGATAACTTCGACCGACTCTGAGAGAAAGTAAGCGCGAGGACGGCGACAGAAGGGGGAGGCTACACGAAGGAAAAGGGGGGGCGGATTATCGCTTCTGGTACTCGCTGTTTCTGCTCCTTCTCCCGATTCTGCTTCCTGCAATCTCTTCTCATCGTCCTATCCTCCCTCGTTGTTATCGCTCCTCCTCCTCCTCCTCCCCGTGGCCCGTCCGCATTATCGTCATACTGGCAAGCCCTCCTTCACATGATCCTCCATCATATTCCTGATCTGCCTTCCTCATGAGCCTCCTGCCGGTTCCTGGTCGAGGGGGCAGTGCGCCAAAGCGGCAGACGTGTACGAGTTGCAAGCGTCATCGAACGATGGAGATAAAGTGCAAACGAAACCATGCTCAACAATGTTGCTCATCTGTTGAAAGGGAATGTGTGCGGTGTGAGGTATGTGGTGAAAGCCTTGTGGTGTAAATTCTGCGATGTGAGCCGTGGGGATGGCAACTGTGCGGTGCAGGCTATGTGCTGCAAGCGTTCTCGTGTAAACGGCGACTCGAACTGGAGGTCGAGGCTACGGGGTGCAAGCAAGGTGACGTCAGCTCTGCTGTGCCATATACGCGGTGCAAGCGATACGTTGGAAGCGATGGGAGGCAGACTCTGGGGCCCTGGGACACACAAATAGATACACACAAATAGCAGGATACCCCATATTGTCCCATATGTTCTGGGTTTTTGTTTGTCTTCCCCCCATCCCACTTCCCATATTCCCCCATACTTTCAAAGGAATCGACGATTCATTGTGTCTGTGTGTTGTTGTTCCCTCCTGACCGTGGTGACAGCCATGCCGCGCGAGCTCGGAGCACGGGGCGCCAGGCGAGGCGGCACCCGCGGGGCAGCCTGCGGGCACCCACTCCCGCGCACAAGTCGCCAGGCGAGGTGCCCACGAAGGCGGCACGATGCGGCACCGTGGCGCCACGAGGACGAGGCGAAGGGAGGAGGAGGGAGGTAGAAGGAGGAGGAGGAGGTAGAAGGAGGAGGGGGAGGAGGAGGAGGAGGAGGAGGAGGAGGAGGAGGAGGAGGAAACAGCGGCAGGCCCCCCAAAAGCGCGGGGCGCCCCAGGAGGCGCCCCAGGAGGCGGCCACGAGGCGGCAGCGTGGCGCGACCTCGCCACATGCGCCCCAGGCGTGGGGCGCCCACGGGGCGCCCCGCGAGGCGGCACCAGTGCGGCACGGTGGCGCCCACATCGAGGAACCCGCCCAACGCCCCAGCGCACGGGGCGCCCACGAGGTGCCCACGAGGCGGCACAATGCGGCATCGTGGCGCAACCTCGGCATGCCCCCCAAGGCGCGGGGCGCCCACGAGGCGCCCCGGGAGGCGGCACCGGCGGCACCGTGGCGGCAACCCGGGATACCCGTCCAGGCCCTTCGGGACCAAGTCGGGTCGCCTGAAGGCGAGCACTGGTTTGGAAAACCTGCCAGCCCATGTTCGGACGCAGCGCGGTGGCTGGCACCTCGAAGCACCCCGCAAAATGAGCCTCCCTGCTTCAGACTTCTTGAAGCTTGAGCTTAGCTGCCCCGATACGCAACACGCAACGCGTATCGTATTGATGCGGAGCTCCACACGTAGGCTGAAAGCGTGGGTCAGGCGCGATACGCTCGCCAAAACGTGGTCCGATACGTGGGGCCAGCATTCAACGTATTGGCACGGACGTCTTGAACACGGGACGTATTGCGTTTCAAAACGGGCGCATCAAGGCAACCAAGAGCTTGAGATGTCCGGCCCGCAGTGGGACTCCGAGGCCCTGCAGGGCCCTGCAGCGCGGTAGAGGTCTGGGACGTCGGCCCCGTCGAGGCCCCGCAGGGGGAGCTCCGGAGACCCTCCAGAGGAGCGCGAAGACCACGGCCGGTGCATGCCCGTGCGGAGCGCCGAAGAAGGAACGACGAGGACGTCGTGGCCACGGCGAGCATCGGCCACGAAGGGGTCCCCCGATCTGAATCTGAGGAGCGGCCCGAAAACCGTAGCCGCTCCTGAGCTCAAAGGCATCGTTTCAGCGCCTTGCCTGTGGGGAGTGGGCCATGCTCGCAGAGGGCACTCGGGGGCGAGGGAGCGCTCGCTCAGCAGGCGCTGGCGGCTGGCAAAATCCAGACAAAGGCGGTCCTGCTGCAACTTGTCCAGAAATGATCGTCTCACCCACGGATCCGCTTCGAGCTTGCGGCGGTCCAAGCTGCTGAACGTGAAGGAGCACTGCACTTCGCTGGAGGGCGGTACACATATTTGTGATGGCAAGAGACAAGACCAGAAGCCCCCTCCTCCTTCTCCTCCCGCTCCTCCTCCACCCTCCCTCACTCGCCCCCCCCTCTCATCCGTTCTTACTCTCTCCTCATTCCCACCTCACTGCTCCAACTGCTGATGCTGCTATTGCTATTGCTGCTCCCGCTTCTGCTCCTGCTCCTGCTCCTGCCCCCGCTCCAGCTCACGCATCCGCTTCTGATGCTGTTACTCGTCGCCCTCGTCCTCGCCGTCCTGCTTCGAAGCTCCCCCATGCCGCCTTAAGTTCCTCTTGCTCCTCCACCTGTGCTGCCCAGAAATGATATGGAGTGGGAGAGGGCTCCTTCGCCGCCGTCATTCGGTTTCGACATCTCGCATCGGTCGGGCCAGGAAAATCGACCTCCTCCTCCTTCTCCTCCTCCTCCTCCTCCGCATCATCCCTTCGGCTAGTAATGCTTGTCCCGCTGCACTCCCTGGCTCCCTGCATTTTGGCCGCGTATCAAATACGCGTCTGACGGATGTTGCCAGCCCGCTACAGCGGGTGAGGTGGGGGGCAGATCCGAGCCTAGGCTCTGGCACTCTCTTGTCACGATCTGCATTCAGCTGTCACGATCAGGCATAAAAGACATCCACTGCCAAGTACAACATTGAATGATGCACGCATCGAGGCATGGTGGACGACATCGGCAGGCTCTGCCTTCAATTCCTCTGCCTCCTTGTCGCCTGGATCCTCCTCGTTCAATCCCCATTGCGCCAGCCACCAGGTCCTAGGTCTGTCCGCCCGCTCCTCCCCGTCCTCCAGCCTCTCCTCCTCCTCTTCCTTCTGCTCCTCTTCCTCCTGCTCCTCCTGCGCCTCCTCCTCCTCCTCCTCCTCCTCCTCCTCCTCCTCTCATCAATCCTCGACGCTGAAGACACGGAAGCAAGGCCCCTCCCTTGCAACGGCAGCTTCCAACAAGAGCGACTCGCTTACGTATCCATCAAACTTGTAGACCTCATGGATGCGACATGTTGGCAACACGTGGGCACAGCTTATAAACAAGACGCGCAAGCCGATCCGGCCAGAAAGCACCACAGTCCCCAGAAATTCAAGCAGACAATGAGGGCTCATCAAGGACAAGCCTACTTCGCAAGTACAAGGCATTGAAGCGTGGCGACAACTTGGTAGATGTAAGGGATTCAGCCACTGATGTCAAATCCGGCAGCACGCGAGGATACAGCAACGGCCACCTCATCTTTCTCGTCGTCGTCGTCGTCATCCTTCTGCCCGTCCATCTCGTGGTTCTCCTCTCGTCACTACTCCCTTCGTCCTCTTCACAATATTCCTCGCCCTATTCGTCGTCCTCCTCCTCCTCTTCATCTTCCTCCTCATTCGCATCCTCCTCCCCACTGGCGTCCTCAGTCTCCTCAACATCGCCCTCCCTCTTCTCAACAACAGAGGTATGGGGCTCCTCCTCATCCTCTTGACCGCCACCTGTTCTTCCTCCTCCTTGCCTTCGTCCTCAACATCCTCATTCTCTTGGTGACTCCGCCTCTTTCTCGTGCTCATACTCGTCCACCTCATCGCCCGCGTCATCAACCTCATCCTTCTTCCTTGACGCGGTGCCAAGGCCAGGTGCACCTGGACGCTCGCCGGCAGGCTGGCGACCGCTCTAAAAACAACGTATTGTATGAGGATCCCGTGACTCTGCCGGCGGTTCAGACCAGGCCGACGCGTCGCCCACAAGGGTGCGACTGCTCGTTGGAGGCATTTCTCCTCCTCCTCCGCCTCCTGCCGCTGAACCTTCCTGCTCGCGACGCGAGCGCGGGTCGCGCGGCGAAGCCAGCGAAGGAAGGGGAGGGGGAGAAAGCGGGGAGGGGCGAGCCAGGCCGACCAAACCAAAGTTTGGTCTGCTCGGCCCCGGCCATCAGCCCCCCACCCCCTCGTTTGAAACGAGGGGGTTGTGGGGGGGGGTGATGGCCGGGGCCCACTTCAAGCCCTGCCTGCTGGCCCGCCGCCCTCACCAGGAGCAGAACAGGCCGCATCCGCGCAAACGTCGGGCGCTTCACGCGGATCTCCGGAGTTTGTGCTGCCCCCCCCCCACTGGCGGAGCCTCCGGCGCCGCCCCTGAGGCCGCTCCTGGCGCGCCTCTGAGGGTGGGGTCCAGCGCCGGCCCAGGAAATCCGCGCGGAGCTGCGACAGCTTGTGCGTGTGTGCTTTTTCTCCTCTTTGACCCTCCTCCTGCTCGTCCTACTGGTTCCTGGCTCCTGGTTGCCGAAGAGATTCCTCCTCCTCCTCCTCTTCCTCCTCCTCCTCCTCGCCCCTCCCACTCTCGTCAGCCCTTGCCGGTGCGCTCCTCTGGCACGACCCGCTTGCCGAGGACGGCGTCACCCGCTCGGAGTACCAATCCCTGTCCGCAGCGTCGACCTTCGGATGGGAGGGTTTGAAATCTCGTGTGGAGAACATGGGAGGGGAGGAGAGGAGGAGGCGGAGGAGGAGGCCGAGAAGGACAGGTGGGGAGGGCGTGAGCCAGGTGCAGGACATGGAAGACGCGAGGTGGGCGAGGTGGGAGGTGAGAGAGGGCGCATAGGGGAGCTCGGGGGGGGGGGAAATGGAGGGAAAAGGCAGGGGATGGCAGGTCACATCAGGAGAGGGGGCGCGGCCAGAGCGGGGAGACAAAGGTAAGTTGTCCAACTTACTTCCGCTGTAGTAGACTTATTTGCAAGCGCGAGCACATGGATAACAATGTGTCTAGACTTATATCTGTCGGTTGTAGCAAGGAGACAAAAAAAAGAAGAACCCACCCGTCGGTAGCGGGAGGCCTCGCCCCTGGCGCCCTCTGCCTGGGGGCGATGCTTTTCGCTGCCGCGCCTCGGGCAGTTCGGATTCCTCTTCCCCCCTGGCTCTCCTCCTCCTCCGCCTCATAAACGCCGCATTCTCGTTTATCCCTTTCTCAGAATCCTCGTCCCTCGCCCGTCTCCTCCTCCTCCTCCTCCTCCTCCTCCTCCTTCCTCCTCCCCCTCCACCTTCCGACTTCCTCTGCTCCCCGCGCTAAATCGTAGTGCTGCTACTCTGGCTTCACCTTCCCGCAGTCCGCCGATGCATTGCCCTACCCCCTACCTCGCCCACTGTTTCTTATATTGCTGCACTGTTCCACCTGTTGATGCCACAACTGCTCCCATAGAGAATTCTGGGCGAATGGCATTGTTCCACAATGAATGTTTAGGGGAGAGCGGAACAATCACGGCAACATCTCAACTGCACATGCACGGTAGGACTGCACCGATCAGTCTAAACGCAGGTGCTTGATTCGCCGAGGCCTACGCTTGTAACGGTACTGACAATAAGTAGAGTCTGTTGGAACTAAGGGACACAAATTGGTGGCCCACTCGAACATTCGTCCCACAACGCTGGCGTACCCTGTCAATAGCAAAGGCAATGAGCTTCTCATACGTGACAGGCGGAATGCGCCAGCGCGATGGTGCTGGGCGGGAGCACAGGATGGTGAACGTGACTTTCTGTGCTCTCTCTCTCTCACTCTCTCCCTCTCTCCCTCTGTCTCACTCTCTCTCTCTCTCTGTTGCGCTCTCCCTCTCTCTCCCTCTCTCTTTCTCCTCTCTCTTTCTCCTCTCTCTCTGTCATTCCAACCTTCTGCCCACTCCTGTCCAACAAAATGCTCCCTACTCTGCGCCTTCCACGACCCACTCTCTGGTTGCCCTGCGCTCTCCCCGCCCCTCCGCGTTGGCCCCGCCGAATGTGCCGTCCGAGTGCCTCGTCGGGCCCGGACGCGGCTGGACACCGGGTCTGCTCCCCCAGCGGCGACTTCCAGGAGGGAGGCGGGAGGCTGGGCCCTGCGTGGCCGGCGGGGAGCACCCGGCGCCACACCGCACCCCGCTGCGGCCGCGACGGCCTCGGGCCGTGCGCCCCCGCGAAGGCGGCCCGCCGCCCTGGAGCACCAGCTCCGGGTCGGGCTGGACCGCCTGGCATGCCGCCCCTCCTCGCTCCAGGCTCCAGACCGCCTGGGGCGCTGTCCGGCAGGGCCCGCGCGCCGTCTCCGCCTCCGCCACGGCCCTGCCGTCGTCCGTCTCGGCGTCGGCCAGCACCGCCCCCCGAGGCGCGCCCGTCGTAGGGCCCCGCTGCTTCACCCCGGACTGTTGTCTCGGCCCCGCGTCAAGCTTGGCACTCTCGTCACGGGTCGCCACCCGCGCTCTCGGTGGGGCCTCCCTGCCCAGAGAGGCCCCCCTAGCGTCACTTTGGACTGGACACCCGACATGGGTACGGGAAAAAATTGCACAATTCCGAACAACAGATGGTGTCCAAAACCGACAACGGCCGCTGTTGGGCAGACGGCCTGTTGTCTTGAAAGCACAGCGCCCGCGGCGGCGCGGACAGCGAGTCCTGCTCAAAATGATCAGGAACTGCTGTTGGGCCGTACCCATGTCGTCGGGCCTTTTGCAGGGGCTCCCAGCTTCCCTCCATCCGCGGCATACCAGATCCAGTTGCGGTACACTCTGCGAAATGCTTAAGAAATCATGGGTTAAGAAATTCATAGTCTCAGAAATTGAATAAAACCCAGAAGTTCTATCAAAATCTTGGGATTTACATTGAAACGTTAAGAATAATCGAGACTCTGTCCGAAAACTTAGGTTTTCTTAAGCATCGCCCAAGGTGTACACTCTGTGGCTGCCTGCCGCAGCTCGCCCCGCAGCCGTGCGTCCGTCCGCCGGCCACGCGGCAAGAGCGCCTCTCGGGCACCAGTTTTTTGTTTGCGG